CTTCGATTGCGTAACTATTTTTCTTTTTTTTAATTAAAAATAAATAAGTAAAGTTCATATTTTGTCTCACGCAATGCTTTAAGTCGGTGAAATGTAATAAGATGCTGTTGTCGGAAACAGCCCAGGCCCATTTCACATGTGCCCCTGCTGGGCCGCCACACACACTCTCTCCCCTCCCTCTCTTCGTTAAACATTATTAAACAATATTTTAATATTTAGATGAGCATTGATTTCTTTTTTTCAAATTGTGCTTTCTTGACAAATTCGAACTTGAAGATGAACAAAGATTAATAATATCTTAATTTATAATTAAATTTATCTCGAGCTCATTTTTAATTTCAAAAATACTTAGGCATATAACATTAAAACATATAAAATATCTGGTTTGAATACTCGATTCATGTGGATGCGTATGAAAATTATTATTAAAAGACAAAAAGCTACCGTTGTCAAAAAATTTATTTTTCTATTAAATGTATGGTCAATCATTCAATACATTAAATATTATTATATTTTAGGTATAGTTTAAAATTGTATTATAAAAGATTAGGTACTAAATAAATTATACATCAATATTTATAAAAAGGGGTATGCGGATGGTACGCAATATGACAAGCCACTCCTAAAATGCATATAAATTTTAAATTACATAATGAGAGTGGCTGTGATGTAAACTCATTGGTGTTCATACCATTTGTTATTTTATTAATTTTTTTAAAGTTCTTCTAAATAAAAAAAATATAGTAAATGAGATATGAATTACGTATAAATTTCAAGAAATAGATGTACACATCATCTTGAAGCAATCAAATGATTATTTGTCCTATTTTCTATTCATACTCTTCCACGGAGTTCAAATAAGTTTATTCTATAGTTTTTATCCAATTAAATTAGGTGAATTCAACAAAATATATATATATATATATATATATATATATATATATAATATTCATTGTAATAATAGGTTTTAAAACGCACCTCTAGTAGGGAGAGGTTCTTATACCCTATTTTACCCTCCAACCAACTTGAGATCTCACGATCCACCCCCTCTTGGAGGCCAACATTTTTGTTGGCACACCGCTCGATTTTTTACTATAATATCATTTGTAAGAGCTTAAGTCCATCACTAGCAGATATTGCCTGCTTTAGCTCATTACATATCTTTGTTAATCTCACGGTTTTATAACGCGTCTATTACAAAGAGATTTCCACACCCTAATAAGAAATGTTTCGTCCCCCTATACAACTATGTGGGATCTCACAATTCTCACTCCGGGGCCCAACATCCTTGCTAGCACACCGCCTGATGTCTAGCTCTGAAATCATTTATAACAACTCAAACCTACTATAAGCAGATATTATATGCTATGTTTCGTTACGTATTGTCGATAGCCTCATGTTTGAAAAACACGTCGACTAAGAAGATGTTTGTACACTATATATCAACACAAGGCAAGTGTAGGAGGACATTGATGCATAATTTCAGATGTCAATGGATACAAAATGGAAGTAAAATACAAAAAAGTACCTAAAAAGGAAGTGTTTTCCATGAAGAAATTGAGAGGCAATCACCAAAGTTGAACTCACCTCCCACTGGAATCAGCAATTCAAGTCCTGCAACCCATATGCTCAAGAAACTTAGTGAGGCTCGAGTGTTTAGCAGCCCATTGCTCAGCCAACTTTTGTTCTTTGGCCTCTGCATCCTTTCTCAACCCTGCCAATTGTTCCTTATACTCTGCTTCAATCCTCTCCAAACAAACCTTCTCTTCTTCTCTAAGAGCCTTCACTTTCCCTTCAACCTCCTCCATCTTTTGACGAATCCGGGACGCCTTCTCCGACTCCAATTGCAACTCTTGTCGTCTTAACCTCCACGCCGTTTCCTTCTTGTGCGCTGCCCAAGCACGGTGCCCTTCATCCAGCTCGCGGCAGCATTCCACAAGCTCCGAAGCAAACAGGCTTCCACCACATGATGCCATTGACATATGAGGTGCCAAATTGCCCAACACAAGAGGCATGTTTTCTGGGATTCTCTCTGGCTGTTGCAGCCAAGGGATGGGAGAGTAGGCTGGAACTGTGGGGGAAGAGAGCGTTAAGGTAACAGATGGGGAAGGCGGTCGGAGCGAAGAACCGCCGTTGGAGTTCGAAAGCCAAGGAGGAAGAGACGGTGGCGGAGTGGATGAATCCGTTTGAAGAAATCCCCCATTGGAAGTGGCCATGAGATAATTTTAACTAAATAGCCTTACAAACTTACACTCACAGCTGAGTTGAAGGCTCCACATTTATTAGTTCCCCACAGCCTTCCTCTTCATGGCATCTAAGAAAGGATGAACATCAAGAACTTATGATAAAAAGACGACAAAACTGAAACAAATTTCAGGGAAAAGACAGACTAACACAGCAATCAAAGCATGACCCATTTTACATTTCAGATCAGAAGCTGCACTAATGAAGTAATGAAGAACAAAGCAGAGAAAAGCAGTGATAGAAACAGGAAGAACCCATTAGAGCATCACCAAAAATTGTGCTACATCCAAGAGAATTGTGCATAAAAACACATGGAAACCAGAAAAGAAACATAAAAAGATGAAATGTGAAAGAGAGATGAGTGCATACACTGGTAGTGATAAGTACAAGGCTCCTCAGCCAAACAGAGCCCAATTCAGTAGAAACAAACAGAGAAAAAGAAACCCAATTCTGTAAAAGCCCCCAAAAGGTGAGAGAAGTGAAGGGCGTGGGTGTGCCGTGCTGAAGGAGAGGCAAGAAAAGAGGTAAATATATGGAAGAGAGTGATAGAGGAGGGAGTGGGAAAGCCACAACCACAGCCACAACCACAGCCACAGCCACAGCCACATCCACAGCCACAGCAGGCATTAACTTTGGTTTAGTCACTGTTGGATATATGTATAAAGGCAGAGGGGACGATTGAGACAGAGCGAAACAGCTGAGGATCAGAGCTGCTGCAGCGCCAGAAAGAGAAAGGGAAGGGGGGAAGGGGGGAAGGGAGTGGGTGTTGCTTGGCATTTAATGGTGCAGAAAGCTTTAAGCTTGGTTTCAGCGCTTAACCTGCACCCACCCTCCATTCCACTCATTCACTTCTGTCCCAATCAAAATTCTCATCAAGGGTTTAGTTTCAAATGTAATTACTTTTCATTCGTAATAGTAATCAAAGAGAGACAGCGAGAGAGAGAAATGGAGGATAAGGAAGCGAATGGGAATTCTGAAGGCGGCGAATAAGGCAAAAGAAGAGCAGAGGAACCTGAGCGTCCACCGGGTCCGGGAGTCAGAGTGAGGATCGCGGAATCCTTGCGGTGGCCCCCCCGAGAAGGGGAATTCTGAAGCTCTGACGTCAGCAAAACAAACCCTAGAAAATGAAATTGGAATTGGAATTAAGAGAATGGACTGTAGTCCGGGTTTCGCGGCCCGAGGCGACGGACTTTGATGGACACTCCACCTTTCTTCTCTGCTACTCCTCCTCCCTCCTCCCTCCTCCTTTTGTCAGTGATGCGTTACGTCTATCTAAACCCTTCTTCATCACTTTCTATCTAATCCCCCATGCAATTTCTTCATCACTTTATTGTCGCCTCAAAAAAGCTCTCATGTCCCATCCTATTTTTCTGGAACGAAAGCTAAACGGTGGAGAAAGCTGCTTATTACGATAACAAAATAGAGAATAAAAGGTTTCGATTTTTTTTCTTTTTTTAAAAAAAGAAGAAAAATAAAATAATAATAAAGGTGAGTGGGATTTGATGTTTCAAAGCTGCCGTGAAATTGAGGGGGATCCTCTTCTTTAACCCAAAATCACTCTCAGTCTGCAAAAGCCGACTCAACACTGAACCATTACCGCCTTCAACACTGCCTGCGTTCTCGAAAGGGTCACTCACATCCGCCTATCTCCGCCGGGAAACCGCCACCGCCCGCCACCATTATTAGAGCATTTTCTAATATTTTGTTTTACTGTTTCACAGTCAAGCCGTCTTAGCTCAGCCGGTAGAGCGCGTGGCTTTTAACCACGTGGTCGTGGGTTCGATTCCCACAGACGGCGTTTTTTTTTTAAATAGGAAAAAAATATATATAGAAATTGGTATTTGTGCTATTACTGAGAATAAGGCCTAGAGATAGGGTGTTCTAGATGAGCCTCAGCCCCACCCTAGTTGTGGTTTGGTGTGAACACGTGGAATTTGTGGGGGGGGGGGGGGGGG